ATGCTTGAAATTGTTATCGACTTAGGTGAACTATACTGTGGAATTTTATTTTAAATATTATATTTTTTAAAATATTTATTGATATTTTTTAAAAGTACATGGAAGTAAGAAGCATGGACGTCCCAAATTTTACACGATCTAATCCATGAAAACATTAAGAAAAAAATGTAGGCATGCTCTCAACGGCCCATTAGCGTAGTTTGATCATTCTATATTTTCCAAATTATGTTCTCCATATTCTTTTAAGGATGTGATTTCTATAAGGTTGCAATCTTAAACAATCAGATTAATCCGTACTTCTAAATTTTATCATAATATATAATTTGTTTTAAAAATTCTAAAGATTATCTCAAAATCTATTTTCATATCTAATTATTTTAAATTTAAAAAAAGGTTAAAATCAAGTAGATTTATAAACATATTAAAAGTTTGAGAATGGACAATGCAGATAATATGTTGCAACATGCGTTATTTTTTGAAACTTAATATTTTTTTTTTTTTTTTCATATTCTTATATCTCGATATCCAGATGATCAATTAAAAAATTTTTAAATCAACATTTTCCGACATATTTTTGAAACGCATCTTTACTTCTACATTTTAAAGTTGCAAGCTTATATAAACTTTTTCGTTTTATTAGAGCGGGAAAATTTTAACTCAATGTATAGAGAAAACATACTCTAGTGCTGTCAACTCATACAAAAAGTGTTTTTTTCTTATGTTTGATCTACCTCACCTCAATTATTGAACAAACATCACTATCTCGTTATTGACCCCATGCTCAATTAGGTGGAAACATCACTATCTCTTCCCTATCTCATTAATGACCCATGCTCAATTACGTGGAAACACCACCATCTCATTAATGACCCATGCTCAATTGGGTGAAATTTTTACGGTTGCAATCAATGGTTTAAAAAACGGATCGGTGATCCGGATCGGGTTTTCAAAAAATCGATTCGGATCGGCGAATCGGCGATTCGGATCGAGAATCGAGTGAATCGGTCAGAATAAAGCTTAAAAAAAAATCCAAAAAATTATTAAAATTCATTATAAATATTGTTTTTTAGGAATTCAATAAGAAATGAGGGTACTTCATTAAGAATTTTCATGTTTTTAAATGAATATGCGAATATTGATATGTTCTTTCTCTGCATGAACCGCCATTCAGCATTTAATTTACATCACACAAAAGGATAAACATATAATTATCATGAAATAAGTATATCAACATACATGGACTATAATAAAGCATAAAATTAGTAACATATGATCTAAAAATAAAATGATAGACGACGTTATTGTTCTTCTTGGTCACACTGGTGCCATTGATTGAATTCGTTTAACAATTCATTGATTCGATCTAAAAACGAATCATCGATATTAACAGGCGTCTTACTATTCCCAAATCCTTGAGTGTTAGTGTTTTGTTGTGTTTCTAATCTAAAATCCCCGAAGATTGTCCATCCTTCATGCTCACTTGCACTGTCGTGCTCATCCTTACACTGTTGCTGAATAATATGACTGGGATAGGGTGGCCTCAGAATCATCATCTCTCTCATTTTCTCTTTGAATAATATGGATTAAAAAAAAAAACAAATTTTCAAAAAAATCGATCATGGATTAAAAAAAAAAATCACAAATTTTCCAAAAATTCTATCATGGATTACAAAAAAAAATTCGATCATGGATTAAAAAAAAAAAATCACAAATTTTCCAAAAATTCTATCATGGATTACAAAAAAAAATTCGATCGTGGATTAAAAAAAAAAAATCACAAATTTTCAAAAAATTCAATCATGGATTACAAAAAATTCGTTCATGGATTCCATAAAATTCGATCATGGATTACATAAAATTCGATCATGGATTACAAAAAAAAACAAACAAAAAAAAACAAAAAATTCAATCGTGGATTACAAAAAAAGAAAAAAACAATTCGATCATGGATTACAAAAAATTCAATCATGGATTACAAAAAACTCTATCATGGGTTACAAAAAAAGCAAAAAACAAAAAATTCAATCATGGATTACAAAAAACTCTATCATGGGTTACAAAAAAAGCAAAAAGCAAAAAATTCAAACATGAATTACAAAAAAAAAACAAACATTTCGATAATGGATTACAAAAAAAACACAAACATTTCGATCATGTATTACAAAACATTCGATCATAGATTACAAAAAATTCTATCATGGGTTACAAAAAAAAACAAAAAAACAAAAAATTCGATCATGGATTACAAGAAAAAAAACATACATTTCGATCATGGATTACAAAAAATTCAATCATGGATTACAAAAAATTCTATCATGGGTTACAAAAAAACAAAAAATTCGATCATGGATTACAAAAACACAAAAACAATTCGATCATAGATTACAAAAAAATCGATCAAGTATTACAAAAAAATCTATCATGGATTACAAAAAACAAAGAAAAAAAAAAAAAAATTCCGTACGGGGACTCGCCCATACCGTACCGTGAATCGGCGAGTCACTGTACAGAATCGTCCGGTTCTCTCTAGAACGGGACGATTTCCGATTTTTTAGCCGATACGATCCACTTTTTGCGATTTCCGATTCGAACCGTGCGAGTCCGGTTCGACTCGGCATTTTTTAAAACACTGGTTGCAATCTTAAACAATCCAATTTTACTGTAAAAATTATTAGGATTATCTTAACAGTAACTTTTATATCTAATTAGAAAATTTTTAACTTAAAAAATGGTTAAAATCAAATAGATCTATAAATAAATGAAAATTATGAAAATAGAAAATCTAGATAATGTGTTGCAAAATGTACTATTTTGAGATTCAATTATTATTATTTTTTAATATTCATACATCTCGATATCGAGATGCTCAATTAAAAAGTTTACATTAAAACAATATTTCCAATAGATTTTTAAGATGCATATATAATTCTACATTTTAAAGTTGCAACCTCATATAATCTTTTCAGAGACCTTTTTAGGTACATACATACACCTTTAGTTCTTTTTATTATCGTTTATTTATAACACCCTCCTCTACAATGTCAACGTTTTATTTTGTTTTGCTTTTATTTATTTATTTATTTATTTTATTTTAAGCTGCCCTCCGCAATAACAACATTCCACACGATAAGCCCCACGCACTCAAAGGCATTGTACTCAAATAAAAAAGCGGATGTACTTCTTTGGAAGTATAATATAAGTTTACACTTGCGGTAAAAGACTTTAGGGAAATTGTTTCAATTTATAATTTATGGGCCTACCTAATTATTACTAGATAATTATTTTTAAGAGTTAAAATTTAAAATTTGAATTTTTTAATACTTAAATCTCACTCTCTAATACGTGGATGGTCTCTATTCTTACTGAGACTTTTTATTGAGACTTTTTATTTAATACTTAAATCTCACCCTCTAAAAAGCTGCCCTCGGCAGCAACACCATTCCACACGATAAACCCCACACACTCAAATGCATTGTAATTAAATAAAAAAGTTGATGTACTTCTTTGTACTTCAATTTATAATTTTTAGACCGACCTAATTATCATTAAATAATTATTTTTAAGAGTTAAAATTTGAAATTTGAGTTTTTTAATACTTAAATCTCACCCTCTGAAGAGTGGATAATCTCTATTCAATACTGAGACTTTTTATTTCAAGCATATAGAGGGTGTCATTAGAAACATTTTTTCTATTGAAGTTAATCTATGGGTTGAAAATGCTGTATCTCCTAAATTTTGGTTGCTTAAGTTGATCTTCAATGTGGTTTTACTTGAGGGAGTAAATGAATAGTCTAATTCGGATGGAGTATAATATATTTTGATTAGGCTTTGCACGGTTTAAAAGTCATACAAAAGGGTTTGCCAAAGGAACTGATACTCCTTTGGGAGTATAAAGTTCATTTACTCCCTCATATAAAACAATACCTAGGATTAATTTAAGGAACCCAAATTTTATGGATATAACCTCAATAAAAGAATTCCTAATTTCACTACACACTTGAAAGTATAATGTTTCAAGATTGTATAGAAACCGTCTAATTTTAGAGGTGAGATCTAAGTGTTAGAAAACTCCAATTTTAAATTTGAACTTTTGAAAATAATTAAGTGGTTTCAAAATTTTAAAATTGAAAAAATCTTTCTAGGCCTTTTTACCTAATGAATCAACCTATATTATATTCCCGCAGGAGTATATTCACTTTTTATTTAAAGAGTGTGGGTTCATCACGTATGTTGTATTTGTGAACACGGGGCAAAAAAAAAAAAAAATCGACAAAGGAGGAGTGCTCTTCATAATGTTTTAAAAAAAATAACATCAAATAATAACCATAAAAGTTGTTCGTACATAAAAAGCTCTATTTCAATCGGAAAAGCTTTATATGTTCCCCTACAACAAGTTTTATCCTCCGCCTTATCCAACCAAGTTTTATCCTCCTCCTTATCCAACCATCCATTTTTTAATGGAGAGCTAAGATTGCCTCAATCACAATGTCACGTCTCTACACTGTTTTATTTTTTATTTTTTTTATATAAACTATTTTGATATCAAAATTTGAATTTCCATTCTTCTATTAAACTCGCACTAACGAAAAATATATAAAAAATATATTCAATAAAATAAAAAGACCAAAATACCTCTGAAAGATTCAAGGGGTATTTTGATCATTATTTTTTATTGAAAAATTATTGTTAATATTTTTTATAGGTGCGCCCCAATGAAAAGATGACACGCACTAAATTTCATATTCAGAAAAATTGTTGTAAATTTAAAAAGCCTAAAAATAAAATACTTTGAAACGTCGGATCTAAAATCTAATGGTGAATGGCTCTCTTAATAAAAAATGGACGGCTAGATGCTAGCGGAGGATAGAACTTCTATATTATAGAAAGAACATAGAAAGCTTTCCCTTTTCAATTGTTGTACTCATGTCCCATGACTCATGATGGTAACATGCGCAACACCCATTGCTAGGCCTACCTTAGGGACACTTGATGTTCCTAATCCTCTATCTCTCTATAAATTGAAGCTAAGGCCCTGGCACGACACAGAGCAATTGATACATCTCATTGAGAGAGAGAGAGAAAGAGGGGAAGCATGGGTTCTACTGGTGCAAAGAAACCTCATGCCCTGTGTATCCCATTTCCAGCACAAGGCCACATTAACCCCATGATGCATCTTGCTAAGCTTCTCCATGTTAGAGGCTTTTACATTACTTTCGTGAACACTGATTTTAACCATGAGCGTGTGAGTAGATCAGGAGGAGCCATGGAATTGAAGCATTTAGAGGATTTCAAGCTGGAATCGATCCCCGATGGCTTGCCACCGGAGCATGGCCGGACCCAAGATGTTCCGAGCCTTTGTGATGCAACAAGGAAGTATTTTCTGAGTCCTTTCCGGGATTTGGTTTCAAAACTCAATGGCTCCATGGAAGTACCTAAGCTTACATGCATAATTTCGGATGGCCTTCTCAACTGTACACAGCAAGTTGCAGACGAGCATGGGATCCCAAGGATTTCTCTGTGGACGACAAGTACTTGCAGTTACTGGGGATTCTTGCAGTACCAGGAGCTCATCGAAAGAGGAATCGTACCTTTCAAAGGTCTCTCTCTCCCCCCTCCCCTCCCCCCCCCATACACATACAACACTCGTTATCTCCAACACTTGTTACTAGGATAGCAGTTAAAAGAAAGACACTTAGAGAACGTTTAGACAAAACAGCAACTGTAAAGAGAATCAATCTCTATGTGTGTGGCAACATACATGCAAAGAGAGAGAGAGATCTAAATCTTTCTTCCTCTCTCTCATATTTTTGGTTTTTCTTGCTGTTATTGTGCAGTTGAGTACAAGAGAGACGATAAAACTGTAGGGAAAGGTTTTTGTACTTCCCCTACATCAGAGAAGATCTATGCTTCTCCTACTATCCAGCCGTCCTATTTTGATCAACAGAGCCACTCACTGTTTAATCTTAGATCCGACGTCTCAACAGAGCCGTCTCAACAGAGCCACTCACTATTTTATTTTTAGTTTTTTTTTATACAAATTATATAGATATAAAATTTGGTACATGTCATCTTCTCATTGGGGCGCATCTATAAAAGATATATTTTTTTTTTCGATAACATATAATGATCAAAATACCCCTTGAAACTTTCAAAGATATTTTGGTCATTTTATGTTATTAAAAATATTGTTTTTATATTTTTCGGTTGTGCGAGTTTAATAGAGGCTTGGAAGTTCAAAATTTGGTATTAAAATAATTTTTAGAAAAAATTTAAAATAAAATAGTGTAGAGATGTGATATTTTGATTTGGGCAATCTTAGGCCTCCAATCAAAATAGATGGTTGGATAATGAGAAGTATACAAGTTTTATGCTGTAGGGGAAGCATAGAAAGCTTGCTCAAAACTGTAGCCTTCTTTTACAAGTTAGAAGACATTTTAAATTTTAGTGGTAGTATCTCAAAAATTTTAGAGAGAGAAACCATATCATATTTCAACTTTTAGAGAGAGAAATATCTCAAAAATTTTAGAGAGAAATTATATAAAAACTTATAAGAGAAAAACAATCTCAAAATTTATAGCAGAGAAGCTATCTCAAATTTCAAGTTTTTAAAGAGAGAAATTATCTCAAAATTACTATAGAGTGAAATGATATCAAATTTATGCTTTAGAGAAAAACTATCTCAAAATTAAGAGAAAGAGAAACTATATCAAGTTTAAATTTTTGAGTGAGAACCTACCTCAAAATGTTTAGAAAGAAGATGTGTTAAATTTATTTTTAGAGAGAACCTATCTCAAAGTTTTTTGAAATGGAAGTTATCTCAAATTTCAATTTTTTAAAAAGGGAAACTATCTCAGAATTTTAAATGAGAGAAATTTTTCTAATTTTTAACTTTTGGAAAGAGAAACTATCTCAAAAAATTTTGCGAGAAAAACTATATCGAATTTCAAGTTTTAGATAGAGTAGCTGTTTAAAATTGTCGAGAAAGTAACTATGTTAAAAATTTTAGATAGAGAAACAATCTCAAATTTCAATTTTTTAAATAGAGAAACTATTTTAAATTGTTTTGTGGAAAAATAGTTTAAATTTTTTTTAAGAGAAATTATATGAAATGCTAAGTTTTAAAGTGAGGAACTATATCAAAAATTTCAAAATATGTTTACCAAACATGTGAAAAGGCAGACGTTAGTAATTCTTTCCCTATAGATTCTTTGTATGAGTAAATATTTGTCCTGAAAATATTTCATGTCAAACTATTTCACGCTAACAAAACGACCCCAAGAAATAATCCCAATTTGTTTAACGAAAATACTCCGGAAGAGGTCTTTTTTTGCCCAAGAGAGCAAATTTATAATGTGGTCTCACAAGAGTATACACTATGCACTCTATTATTTATTCTTTCGTTTTGACATTTTAAATTCGGTAGGGCAACGATTATAAAAATAAAAAATATAAATAAATATAGTGAGGATTAGAAGGCGACATTTATCTTACTTTCTTCAGGCTTTGTATAATGACCGGTGAAACCTACAATGGAATCCCTATAGGGAACCAAGAAGTCTTCTTAAATTTGTATCATAGCGTTTAGCTATCCTATTTTTACCGGGGCAGGCTAGGCCTACCCAGGTATTATCCGGGACAAAGAGGCCAGGCCTAGGCTGAGTTGTCGTTTTGCCCGGGCTTATAATCTGGGGACAAAGAGGCCACGCCTAGGCTGAGTTGTAGCTTTGTCCTGACCTATCTGGTGTAGGCCAAGCAAGCCACATACAATCCATTAAATAAAGTAAAGGACGAAAAAATAAAAAAAAAGAGATGGCCGGGCCGGACCAAATCGATCTGCCCTGCCTTGCCTTTAGCCAGGGTAACCTGGCCCTTAGGCCACATCTTATGGCTAGGCCAGGCTGCACGGTCCATTGCAAGTCCTAATATCGAGATATCGTCAATGGCACAAGTTGAGACGTGCATGTGCAGGCAGAATCCTACTTGTTCTGAAGGATGTAGTTTCAGGCCTATTTATTGGAGTTGGGCTGCAACCTTCCACACCGCTCATCTAAGCAGATGGAGATGGTGTGCCAAGGAAATAAATCGAAAGAACCGGGAGCCCATTGTCATCTCAACCTTCTTTTCCCTTTCCTTCCCTTCTCTCTCTAACTTAGCCTTCTTTTCCCCTTCCCATCTCTCTCTAACTTCTCTCTAGCATCATCCAGTAACCCTACCCTCGCTGAAATGCCCTCGACCTTCACAGTATCCACTTATCCTCTCTCCTCAATCTACAATTTCAGTCACTTATGTAGGTCTCACAACTGGTGTTAGAAATCCTTCATGCATTGAAATTGTTAAGTTATTTGTGAAGAACTTGCCATTGCCTGATCTCTCTAGGAATAAGATCTCAACAGATCAGATTATCTCCTTTCTGTCAGAGGTGTTACTAGTGAGAAATAGAAAGCAAGAAGAAACCCACCATTATAGCCGCAGTTGAATAGAGGGAGAGAGAAGTAGATAAAGAGATAAGAGAGAGAATGAAGAGTACAAATGCAATGAATATTTCTATTTTTTCAAGGAGATTTGAGAGGAGTTCAAGGGGGGAGAGAGGCATAGAGGAGAGGAAATTTAGAGGAAGAGAGATTCTGTGGGAGGGCACAAGGTTTCATAATAAAAGAACAGAAAAAACAAAAAAAGCTTTAACGCAGGAGTAACTGGGGATGCGACAGTCACGGGTGGAAAAGATACCGAGAGCCCAAATTAACGGACCTTGCGGAGCTATTGGGCTGCAGCCTTATGAAAACATTATAATATTTTAATTTTATAAAATATTTCAACTTTATATTAAAAAAATAAATGATAATAAGTTTTTTTTTATTCATTCATGCACGTAGGATTCGAAAAGATCACCACTAAATTTGATACAAATCTATGAAAAAATCAAAATCTAAAAATCCTATATGATCATTACTTTTAAAAAAATATTAGCATTTGTCCACTCTTCATTGATCTTTGCCAATCAGCCTATATTGTGATTTAGGCCGGCACAGGGGACAAGATCTATAGCCCACGTTAAGAAAATTTCTAGGCATATTTTAATAGATATATTTTACGCATGTTCTTTATTTTTTATTATTTGTCTAGATTAGGTGTACATGTTTCTAGACTTGGATTATGTCATACGCTTTTCATTTTTTCTTTTCATAAAAATTCTAACAGGAAATTTAGGTTGCTACTTTTTGCTTTAATTTGGGTTTGGCGCTTATAGTCAGATGGTATATATATAATTAAATTTTCCAAAGGGTGCAATTAGCATATATATGCATCTATAGCTTTAGAGGTAAAGTGCGCTTTCAAATTTTATCATGGTCATTAATTTTGATGTAAAATGTCTTTAGGAATATCTCAAAATCTATTTTTATATCTAATTATAAAATTTTAAATTTCAAAAATGGTTAAAATCAAGTACATCTATAAATATATGAAATTATTGAAAATGGACGGTGTAGATAATATGATGTAAAATATATTATTTTTAAGACTTAAAATCTTTTTATTTTTCATGGTCAGACATCTGGATGTCGAGATGATCAATCGAAAGGTTTTCAACATTAAAACTAATGTTTTCGATGGATTTTTTAGCTCTACGTTATAAGGTTGCAACCTTGTATAAGTTTTTTCTTTTTCCAAATCATCTTTAGAATGATTAGACGCATTTTATATATAAATTAAAATTTCCAAAATATCCTTGGAATGGTTAGACCCATTTTGCTTAATTTATTTATTTTAATTATTTTTTTGTATGCTTTATAGGTAGGGCTCATAGAAATGATAGAAAAGAGCAGGCTGCCCCAATTTTTCAGTTGATTAGATCCGTAAAAAAACAAAATTCATATTAAAAAACGACATAGGATTGCAGCCTTCCTCTTCCCATTACCATGGGCTTTTGGACGTATATTATAATATGGCAAGCGGGGCCAGGCCACGTAACCATTGCGTGTCGTATGAGGAGATTTATGAAAGAAATTTGTCTCGGGATACCCGTTAGCACGTAATTTTTATTTGAGGAAGACGTTTATATAAGATTGAGGCCCTGGAACCTCAAATCCGATCATCTCGACCTTGAGCAAAAAGAGATGGACCTCAAATCTTGAAAATAGAGCTTATTGTAATGCATTATCTACATCTATCACTTTTTAAGATTTTCATGTGTTCAAAAATCTACTTGATCTACATTATTTTTGAAATTTTAAAATTTTTAATTAAAGATAAAAATAAATTTTTAAGCCGTCATAAAAAATTTTGATATTAAAATGACATCTTTTCTTTGATTATTTAAAACCTCAGCCTTACACAAACTACACCCGCAATAATTTATTTATGATGTCCACTTTAGTGAAATTTTGAAAGTGCCATAACATGGTTCTCATGTAAAAAAAATTTGACTTCTTTAAGTTATCGATGCACAATAATCTAGGAGCGCCAATCAAATTATTGTTTCCAAAATCATACAAAATGAGTCTAAAGTACATAAAATCTCACTTTTCTAATTTAAATGGACAGTTCGGATAACTTAAGTTATAATGTCACGAGTTAGAATTTGAGCGCCTAATCTTGATCGGACAACTTTGTCTTTTAGAGATAATTATGAAAAAATAAAGCTCACAATACTCTAATAATGTTTTAGAGTATTTTTGTCATTATGTCATTCTATTTCTTAGGTGCATCTTTGCAAAGAGTAGTCACACCCATTTTCATGTGATTTGCCAAAAAAAATTAAAACAAAGATACTAGGCGAGCTGACAGGGATAACAACGATATATAGCTATATTTATGTGGGCGGTGCCCCGTGTAAAGGATTGCTGTTAAAATGGTAAAACCATAAAAGTAGTTAACAAGAAGTATGTTTTGATATGGAAACTTTTATGTTTCAAAGAATGGACCATGTTAACTCCACTTGCTTTTCTTCTATGTTTCAAAGAATAGACCAATGGGGGTACTCCACTTGCTTTTTGTCTGTGTTACAAAGAACGGATCCATGGGTAGATCTTCCCATATCATTAATCTAATATTTTGTTTATAAAAACATAGATAAGATAATATATATTATATCATGGGATATCGTAATATTAGGGGGGCGTTTGGATACTTAGAAATAAATTTTAAAATTTGAGATTGTTTCTCTTTTTAAAAAATTTAAATTTTGAAATTGTTTCTCTCTTTAAAATTTTAAATTAGTTTTTCTGTCAAAATTTTTAGATACTTTCTCTCTATAGAACTTAAAATTTGAGATAGTTTCTCTCACTGAGAATTTCACATACTCTCTATATAAAATTTAAAATTTTAGATAGTTTCTCTCTTAAAAAAATTTGAGATAGTTTCTCTCTCTAAAAAATTTTAGATAATTTATGTCTCTAAAATGTTTTTAGATACTTCTCTACGAAATTTTAGATAATTTATCTCTCTAAAATGTTTTTAGATACTTTCTCTATAAAATTTGATGTAGTTTTCCTCTCTAAAATCTTAATATATTTTCTCTCTCTAAAACTTAAAATTTGAAATAGTTCCTTCTATAAAACTTTGACATAATTTCTCTCTAAAATTTATTTATAGTTTTCCTCTTTAAAATTGGAAATTTTTCTCTCTCTAAAATTTTAAGATGCTTTTTCTTCCTAAAACGTAAAATTTGAGATAATTTCTCTCCCTAATTTGTGGGGGTGTTGATGTGAACTGTTATTGCATTTTATATAGTGGACATAATTGTATTTTAGAGAGAGAACATATCCCAAACTCTTTAAAGAGAGAAACTATTACAAATT